ACTTTAAGGTTCGATAGAACTTTTAAAATTAATGCATAAAGTCTATATAAACATGGATCGAAAAATGGATGGCTTCCGAAATACAGGGTGTTTAAAGTTACTTTCTAAAATAGTTTTTTTTTTAAATATTTCGAACAATATTTGCTGTATAACAGTGAACATTGGTATACAAGGGTTTTTGGTACGAACCATGGGCATAGTTTTACAGTAGCCGCTAGAGGGCGCTCTCTACTGTACCTGTAGTGTATTAAAATGACCGAAAAATTTTTCTTAGTGCAATTTTTTGCTTTTTGAATAAAAAACTGATTCTTCGCACTTTTCAACATAAAAAAGCTCTCCTGTGAGTTTTCGCTATAGTTAGCCGTTTTTGAGATATTTCGATTTTTAATGTTCGATGCATTTTTAATTATTTATGGGAAAATAATATTTTTTTTACATTTTCGATTTGGGCATTACAAGTAATTAATATGATCGTTTAGATTGTTTTTAAACACAGCAATAATTCCTAAAACCAAATAAATACAAAAAACAGAATATTAATTTAATTTTCCAATATTATTTTTAACAAATTAAATTAATTATTTACAACTAAAATGCTATTGGATAGTTAGGACAAACATACAAAATCTAAAGTAGTTGCTCGAAATGTAAACCCAATTGTTCAATACACAATTCACATCTACGAATGATCGAACGTGGTATAGCATTATTCAAATAAGGCCTTATTTCATCACATGCATTCCTGATTCTGTCTATTAGCATATCTCTTGTGGTTACGGGAGTCTGGTACACTTTTTCTTTTAGAAATCCCCGCTCAAAGAAATCTAATGGATTTAGGTCAGGGGATCGTGGAGGCCAGGCGACTGGTTCTCCACGGCCGATCCATCTTTCTGGATAATTTTCGTCCAGCCAGTTTTTAACTATTCTCGAATAATGAGCTGGACAACCATCAAGCTGGAACCAGGCCAATCTTCTTAAATCTAACATAACATCATCCCAAATATTTGCATGTTCAGCCTTTAAAAATTCCAAGAAGGTCGCAGCATTTAACCTTGCAGGCAAAAGGTAGGGTCCAAATATTCGATTACGGTAGATACCAATCCACACGTTCACACTAAATTCATGCTGAAAATTTCTTTCCTGAACTGCATGCGGGTTTTCATGCGACCAAATATGTTGATTATGAAAATTTACCACTCCACGAAGCATGACTCATCGGTCCATAAAACGTTATTGTATATGGACCTGGTAGTGGAGAAACGGTCTTCACGGTCTGTTGTACTACGGCGGCGTCCAGTGCCCCTTGCTCTTTGCGTACGGCCTTCTCGAAGCCATGCCTGACAACACCTAACCACAGTGTCTTCACTTCTTTGCACTCTAAGTGCAATTGCCCGAAAAGAAAGTCCAGCTTCCCGAAGTCCCACTATACGGCCCCTATCAAACTCACTAAGTTGACGAAATCGCACAGGTCTCCGTACTCTAGGCATCGTAATCGATCGTAAAGGATGTCAAGAACCAAAATCCGCCAACGTTGATTCTTTACTGCGGCTGAAATGTTCATTTTTAGAGCGTTAGTGAATTAAAAAAAAGCAGTATAAAAACCGGAATGTCCAACTGATAAGGCTGAACATTTTTTCACTTGTTATTTACAGTAAGGTAAATACATTCACCAACTTTTATTAAAATAAAACCATTTAAACTGGGTGTTCGGATTTATATGTCACTTAGTATATTTCAGAACATAGACATTTGTTTATAACATAAGCAAACGGTTCTGGTATTTGCTTGTCCATCATCTTCAGCTCTTATTTCATCAGATCCTGGGCTTTTATTATTTTTCAGGGACGTAATAGTGTTAGAAACTTCTTGAGCATCAACTTCGGTCAGAACAAATGAATTTGCTAATATTATTTTCATGAAATTATATTCGCTAATTTTTCTTCGACATTTGTAAAAAAATTACAAATTCATCTCATGTTCACTAATTTTCATTTGTTACTTCACCCGTTCCCGTTTTCAGTTGAGTAATTTCATTTCCAGATCGTTGCTGTCCACTGAAAATATCATTATCAGTCCATAGTCTCATAGTGTTCAGGGTATTCGAATATTCAATAATGTATACAATAACAATAACCTTTTTTTCCCAACTGTGCCTCTTTTCCATTGTTCAAACTTTGGTTACCATGACGTGATGTTCGTGTCGCTCCGGTTATCCGGATGGGAAGTGAATAGTCACGTGCAGAAACGAAAAACTGATAGCAAACATCCGGTGTAATTGAGCACGTATCCACATACATAATTATAACCAGCTCGTTTGGAAATGTACGCGATCCAGCACGAAATTCGAAGTTTCGCAACAGGCTGGACGACCCTAGAGGTCATTTAGGTTACACAACCGCTACATGAGGGCGATCAAATTTTCGGTCGAATTGAGATACGCATATCCTCTATTTTTTACCTTTTACGATGACCCGTGCCGACTTTCGGTCAATCTTTAGATTTGAAGGTTAATAAAGAAACCATGTATAGATTTCAAAACCTAACTCTTATTCGGCAAATAACACACATTCTTTATTTGTGTCTTAGATACTTATCATTAGAAGAACGTTATTTACTAATTTTTTTTTCAAAGTTTTATTTTTACAGTCAGGATATAACTGCCTGTGTTTTTGTACGTAATAAGAACTGTTTTAGTTCCTCATCAGCAATGATTAAGTCATAGAAGTCTTGTATTAACTATACTGTTCCGTTCCGTATCTTTAACTGGTCTCATTGTCTGCACCTTATACTTAGCGTGTTGAAAAGGAGCATTATGTGGCTTGAAAGTTGACAATAATAGCATCCTAAACTCCCTTAGCCTGCTTGCTGCCTGAAAACAGTGGTGAACAAAATTAAAATAGTTGTTTTGTGTCATGGACAAAACAAGGTGGTTAATTATTATGTAAAACGTACCCAAAAAGCCGGAATAAGCATCACCCACGGTTTCCGTGCAATAAGGCATTTTATTTGTTGCTTATACTCGTAAAATATAATGATATGTGTGTAAGAGTACCAATAAACACTCGAATAAACATTAAGCTTAGAATGTGGTTGTCGATATTTTACGGCCATATGTTCCTCCTGAAGTATCTCTTAACAATGTACAGCAATACTCCGCAAATTAACACTCTATTTACCTTGATATCGTTTTTCCATAGCATAAATGTCTTGGTTCACCATGTTCATCACTTACCGCATCTAAATTTTCCGGAAAAAAATCGAGATGAGAATCCAAAAAGTGAATTCCTAGAGACATGTTACATCCCATTCCTTTATAAGCATTAACTAGTTCACTGACAGTATCTTTATAATTGTCCGCCTTCCATTGCCTAAAAAATTAGCAGAAACTGATTTAAAAGCATTCCGTATTTGTGGACCCACAAATATGCCGTCTTCAATTTTTGCCTCACTAAGTCTCGGAAATGTTTGTTTTAAATGCAGAAACCCTTTTCCACTTCGATCCATAGCTTTCACAAAAATTTTCATCAGTCCCAACTTAATATGCAAAGGTGGGAGCAACTAGTTGTTCATGAGCAATGTTTTCTGAGAGAATAATAAATGGGAAATCTACTTTAGTGGCCTCCTCGATCTCCGGAATTTACCCCCATCGAATTAGCTCACCAAATTCACCGCATCAATCACCTAATCCAATAAATGCCGTGACGTCGTGACGAATGTGTAGCGATCAGATGAGCTTCAATACGTTATTAACATTAAGGTGGGATATCTCAGCCAATTTGAGAAATTTCGAGCTAAAATTTTAATCACTTTCGCTTCATCAGTAGACCTAAAACTTGTAAAAGTATGCTCAAAATTATGGTACTCATTGTCGGTGTTGCATTTTCTATGTAATTTATGATTGATTGTTAGTTAATAGGATATAATCCACACACAAGTGATGCCTTCTGTGGTTTTTGCATATCTATTTGCCCATTTTTAAACAATTTTGTATTTTGGCGAATAAATATTGTTCAAAGTACTCATTTCGTGTTGCATCCAGTCCACATTTCTGTACGTGTTCAGGCATAAATAAACACTTATGATTGTGGATTAGCAAAAGTATTAATGTCATCGGAGATAAGATAATCAAGTTATTAGAAGTTTGCCTTTTGCGGACTATACAATACGAATATCTGATTGTGGTATTTAATATTCATATTATCATCTAATATTATTTCGGTTCTTCATAGAACTATATTAATAATGGTCCGTAAAGGACTACGCTAAACTCTTCTAATTACCCTGATATGTACATTCACTTTGAAAACAGATGTCCTTGTAACAGCTTAAAACATACATTTGTGAATTTGGATATGAAATTCCCCTCACGGTAAAACATGTCGGCTAATTGACGACCCGTCACACGAAGTCTCCAACAAGAGCTAACCTACACATTGTATTATAAAATGGCTAGAAGATCCCGAATTTTCAAGGCGACATCTAACCACAACCTTTACATCCAATATATATACCTATGTATCACCCACCTGCTGCAACAACTTGGCTTTGAAGAAAATGAATTTTCGTGAGCGGCCAGAGGGGAGGAAGTTAAGGGGAACGGGCGCGGTGCCGCTTTCTTTCGCTGCGTGCGCGCTTTGAAATCGTGCGGTTTGATACAGCTAACGAGGGTACTACGATATGTATTCTAAATATTTACTTCGACGAGGACTTTGCACAATTAAGATCGAACATGACTTACAGGTAGGTTCGTTTGATCAAGTAATTTTACATTACATTACAATTTTGTGAAATGTTTGTTCAAGTGTAAAATAAATTTGCGACGATTTTTCTGACTTGTTTTTTAACACACTGATGGTAGTAGATTTGGCGTTTTTACCTTCAAGGCTTTGTATATTGCATTTCTAATTCGTGTCAGTTATGGACTTTGTAACTGGGATCGTAATCTCGTACAGAAGCTTTTTGATAGTCCTCTACTAAGAGATTGAATGATTAGGTTAAGCTAAATTTAGAACAAAAATGTATTTGTTATCAATGTATATAAATTACAAGACAGGATAAGAGTTGACTAAAGCGATTCCGCATGCGTTGACATTCCTCTTAATCCTGACGTATCCATGCTCTCCCCAATCAGCTCCCCAGGAGTTCTTCACGATCCAGTAGTCAACTCCGTCTTCACTTCCATAACCAACAATCAGGACACCGTGGTTCAGATCTTTTGGCAAACTGCTACATCCGCTCCTCGTATCGACGATTCCATGACTGTAGAAAGACATGTTGGAAGCATGAATGGCTGCAGAGACTGGTCCTTTGGAAGCTGTAACAGGAAGAAGGTGAAACTATTAGCTCAGTTACCAAGTCGGAAGGTTTTCGATCAGATGTAGAAGTAATACTTACACACAGCTTCAGTGACTTCTTTCTCGTCCTTGAGTTTAACGAATTTCTTGATCTTAACTACATATCCATTGCGTTTGCACTTGCCGTCATGGGCTGTGTAAGGGTAGGATTCCTCATCCTGAATGCCATAATCTTCGACATACTCGAAAGCATTGTCCATACGCCCCCCATTGCAGCCCAAATTGCCGTATATGAGGTTGGCACAGTCTACTAGTTCTTGAACGCTCAAATCGATCAACGTTTTGTTTTTAAGGAACAGTTGACCTTCAATGGATCCAACCTGACCGAAAAAAGAGAATAGAGTGTTATGACCAGTTAGCTAATCATGTCACTTTGCAGCCTCAGTAATTGTTAACCGTATCGCTCATTGACTTCCGATAAGTCAAATAACCTCAAAAGTTGAAAATGTTTCATGGCTCTTATAGGCTAAAAATACTATCAAGTGAAAAATTCATGTTTTGTTTTCTAGTAGTAAAAATTCCTAATCATATTAGACGAAAATACCTCTGGTTTGAGAAATAATTGTAAGCTCTGGTTTTATTACTGCAAGTTATATACAGGATTAGTTCAAAGAGCATTTAATAGCAACCTTATCTAATGCGTTACATTCTAGATTTTTGAACCTATCTTCAATCGTTGTGAAGCTATTTGAGTTTATAATTGAACTCTAGGAATTGTGATAAGGAATTATATCGTACAAATATGGTTTGCATACATAAAATTAAAAACAAGTCTACATGTATTAAAAAAAAACAAAAAATAACTTACAGCTTCCACGCACATTAAGGTTAAAGTAAAAATCAATTTGATATAAGGAGGTAGGTCAATGTGGTAATAAGGGCTGAAAGTGATGTCCATTTACCTCCATGCAATAACAAAGATTTTGTTCAATTCTATTCTTCACATTTTCAAGCATGTCTTGACTTATTTCTCTATATTCAGCCGTAATTCGCTGACCAAAATCTTGGATGGATTCTGGCTCCGTACTAAAAATTTAACTTTTCAAATGTCCCCAAAAAACTAATCTAAAGGACTTAGGTCCGGTGATTTAGACGGCCACTCGACTGCCGATCCACTGATTCGGGAAACGGGTGTCCAAAAGCGCTGTACTGGAGCCACATAGTGCGGCGGTGCACCATTTCGTTGGAAATGAATGCAATTTTCATTAAAATTAATGTCATTTTCTATTATTTCGTTAGTATTTTTGTCTGGATGCAACGCATCAAAAAACCGGGCAGTAGCTCTTGAAATGCTCCCATTTTGGAGATACAGTTTTGTTATTTCTACACTTTCTTGAATTGAATCAGTCATTGTTCACAACTAGCTAGGTAACTTAACAAAACAATTTGAAATGAAAGACAATTTTTTTCTATAAAATACGATGACACTGCCTGATGCTAAATGTTCTAGCTGGAATCCATGATTACTTTATTATACAAAAGTTACTAAAAACTTGATACAGGATCTGAAAATTTAAAAAAATGGGCCTTCACCCTGTATTGTACGGTAGATGCCCCCCTAGAAATCAAAATTGACGTGTCCGAGCGTTTTTCCCAAAATATACCAGGAGAGTCACAAATGTGCGTGCGACCTTTTCGTTGGGCGAGCCTGTAGGTATAGTAGCTATCGACGTTTGCTATACGAGTCGAAGAATGTTTTTCATTTAAGCAAGGGATGACATACGTGTCGCTTAATGAACGCAACAAGCTTTTTAAAGGGAATGAAAATATACGTACAGCACTAAAAGCCCAGCATGAGCTGCATTGACCTTGATCCTTGACAGCTGTCACAGCACCCTCTTTCCTCCAGTCAATCGCAGTCTTTGTCTCAATACCCGTGGAATCAAATTCTAGGCCATTTCTTGGTCGGGCAGCTTTGCCTTGGGTCTTCAGCAGGTCCAGGAACTCTTGTTGGGTCATGTCGGCAAACTGTGTTACCTTCATAGCGTAACTCACCTCACCCGACTCGTATTTTTTATTGTGTTCTTGGATCTTACGCACGTTGTCTTGGAAAATTGAGAAGCGGTTTTTATCTTCTACCAAACTCCTGTAGGTCTTACCATGGGTCAGCTGAAAACACGCAACGAAATTTTTAAAGCGCGGATTACATTTTGATGTATGGACTCTTCTTGATTGAAGAACTTGTAGTATTTTTTATGAGCTTCTTTTAATAGAGTTCATTCCTAAGATTAGGGGTAAAAGTCTTGTTCAGCTTTGAAGCAATTTCTTTCTAAGCTTACCTTGAATTGCTGCCATTCTTCTTTAATAGAAGAAGCGCAAGCTACCAGAACCAAAGTAGCAACTACAACCAAGGACCTCATGTTCCTAAAATACCAAGAAAAATGAATTAGTTTATCAGAAGCATTGGTAGTACTTGGGAGATTTCAAGCATTGACATTTACTTGTTTTTTCGTTATTAGGGGAAAGCCGGGCGAAGCGAGCATACCAGGAGAGGAAAATTTTGCGTTTTACATCCAAACTCGTAGACATAAGGGTCGTATAAAAGTTTTGTAATATGACTTAGCAACGGACGCAAGAGGCTGCATGTTAGTGGGTGTTGAGGCATGTCCATGAGTGCATAGTAGCCGCTAGCAGCACGTCTGTTGATTTAGTTGTTCATTCGTCTTGACAGTGTATGGCATCGTGGTCACGTAGTGAGATTGGGGCAGTTTTACGGTATAACTTTACGCGTGGTTTAAGGTTAGACCTGTGCTTAGAAGAAGTGACGCTTGCATTAAAGAGTGATTGTCCTCATCGTACGTCTATATTCAGGTGGTACAGAGAATTTCAAAGGGGCAATTTCACTCTAAGGGTCGCTGAGAGGGAAGGAAGGCCGCGAACATCCGTAACAGAGGAAAACATTACTGTTGTGAGGAAACTACGACTTTTCACTGTTTTAGCATGTGAAAATGAAGCTAAAAAGTAAACGTTTTTCTCGCGATGAGGACCTTCTGTCGGCGTGGAACAACGATTGTGTCTCACTCCCGGGTGAAACTTGGCAGAGCTGGTTTAAGGTCTGGTTTTAGCGGATGAAAAAGTGTATTGAATCTGGTCGAAGTTACTTTGAACGAAGTCAATAAATAAAGCTGTATTGCAAAACTTCAATTTTTTCGGCTTTCTTCAATAATTGGCATGCAGCGAGGCGCAAACTTTCAAAAAACCATTTAGGATTATACTGCACCGTCCCTGTGGGAATACATTTCTTAAATATTCAGAATTATACAGGGTGCTCGACTAGTAGCCTGGATAATAACGTTGCATCTTTGATAGACACCTATAGTTTTGTGACATTTTTTAATAGTCTTACGTACTTCTTTATCTTCGAGTAGCTGTTGGGAAAATAGAGTTCTGAATTTTCTCTGAGAATATATATTAGGGTGTCCCAAAATAATTAATGTTTTTCCAAACTCATGTCCTTTAATTTTGTTCCATTTGACGCCAGCAACTCAAAGAATGAATATTATTGCGATCTGAGAACGACTATCGGTCAAACTTTGAATTTGATAGTTAATATGAAAACCGTGTTTTTAAAACTTAGTTCTTATTCGTCAAGTAAAACACATGCATCTTATATGTATTAGGTATTTATCATTAAAAGAGCATTGTTTACTAAATATTATTTTCAATGTTCTCTTTTTATAATACGTATGTTTCTAAGAAGTTTGAGAAACGTCGACACGAGTTTGTTTCGAACTTGGACAATCAACCTACATTCAACTGTAATAGGAATTAGATTGTCAAATGTATATATCTTGTATCAATGAAACTAGTCATGGAAAAACTTTGGGTCCATTGACACATTTCTTCAAAGCGTCAAATAGTCAAAATCGATTACATATCAGGCCTCGGCGGGATCTTTTCATATTAATTTCCAATTGCGACAAAAAATCAAAAGCAAACGTGTCATTGAGAAGTGATAAGAATATGATTGTTACTTACGTAAAATCAGAACACAATAAGTTGTGGAACGAAAATCTTTCCTTTTATATGAGAGCAAAAATGTTCTCTAATGAGAGATAGGCAAACTAAATGATTGAAATCATCCATAACAGCCGGAAAACCTGTTTCCAAACCGAGAGCACTTGAGCCATATAGATTATAAAACAAATAAACATAAAAACCTTTGTCCCATATTTGATTGATGCGATGACTTAGATATTTTTGGCGTAATTTATGCTCAGCCACAAAGTACGCAAGGTGTCCAGTTATGAACTCAAGTTATTTTAGGTGCCGCAAGCTGAGAGCTCTGAGGAGCAAAGCTCGTTGGTGTAGCGGTAGAAGAGGAGCATTAAACTGTACAAGATTGTTGCGTTGTTGCTTGGAGCAAGCAGTGATATGCTCCAGATTTCTCGTCAGAGCGGAAGTCCCTGCTAGTTATCTTTTTTCCTGCATGTACATATATAGGGCTGGCATCAGCAGATGTGTGGTTTGGGTTGACCGTACAGGGAAGGAGGCCGTTGATTTGTAGGAGGAACAGTGTCGGAGCCAAGACCGAACCCTGCTGAACACCCGCGTTGACGTTGAGGGATGAAAACGAGAACCCGTCAATTATGACGGATATCGTGCGGCCAGAGAGAAAGTCAGCCAGCCATCTGCTAAGTTCTTTGATAGGCCATAGGATGCAAGTTTGCATAAGAAAGCAGCGTGCTACAGCTGATGGAATGGTTTCGTGATATCAAGAGCAACGACATGAGCCTCACCATAAGATTGGTTGAGTGTACTCTACAATTGCATGACCTGAGCTAGGACGGAAACCATACTGACTGTCAGGTTTAAACGCCGCGCTCGGCGTGGTTGTAACCTCTGATGTACCCCAGGTCGTTATCCAGCGAAGCCTGTAGTTGTGACAGACGAACATAGTCACACTCATGGGGGAGATGCTGCTGCTAGAGGAGGAAATTTGAAACGTATTAAATGGACACCATAGATGAATAAAGACGTAATGAGGTCCGATTATTGCGTAACGAGATGTATGGACCCCCTCCTCCCGGATGGAGGGTGCTGCCGCATGCTGGGCTCAATAAACTTTACCCTGATTTGAAACGAACCGAAAAAAACGTCGCTAATAGGCTACACGCGTAAAGAGAAAAAGTTAGCTAACAGCTACGGAAATAGCTGAGATCAGAAAGGAGGTAGGTAATAATATTTCTGCTGCGATAGAAGAAGAGGGAATACAGATGGAACAAGCAGGTGTGGTTACCACAGAAACTGAAGAACAGGAAACTGCCTCAACCTACCGCAACACAAAATTCTTCTTCGAAAAGTGTCAGGTAAGATACTCTCGGAGAATCCAGTAAGACATCCCCCAGAGGAGCCAGAATGGCGTAAGCGTCTGAAGTTAGACATAGATAAGCTTAGATCAAAATCCGACCTGCTGAGGGAATATATTAAAGGGAAGAGATCAGCCAAAATTAATTATAAAATGCAAGCCATATGTCAAGAGCATCGGATAGAAGTAAAAGACCGGGAAAACATCCAGAAATTGACAGAAATCATGGATGAGTTCCAGGCCAAGGCTAAAGACGCGAGGCTCAACGAAGCCACGAACCGAGCAAAGCAAAACCGCAGTTTCTCACAAAACCAGAAACAGTTCTTCAGTGATCTTACAGGCCCAACTACATCTAATAATTTGTCACAGGCGCAATGTAAAGAACAAGATGCTAAATCAGACCACAATTAAAAACTGGGTTTGTGTGTGCAGCGAATTACGCTACATAATTATATAAAAAACTAAACCTACAAGTTCTAATTATATAAATACGTTTTTGAATTGATCATAATTGTCATTCATAATTATACGAAGTGATATATAAAATGCAACACCCAGAATTATTTATTGAATTTTGATAAAAGCTTGCAAACATATTGGCTGTGATGGAAGTATACGCTGATAAAATGTTGAAGTAGTTAATTGCCCTAACTGTTAGGAGGAAATATCCTTAAATTTCCTTGGGTTGAAGGCAAGGTTTTGCATAAGTACACTCTTACAACTTGAACTCGAGCTTTCGATGGCCTATGCCATCATCGTCTGGAGCTAAAAAACAATTTTTGAAAAAATAGCAACAATAAACAATTAGAAGGAAAATAATTACTTATTAAGTCGGCCAGATTGTTGCTGAAATTGTTCTTAAACGACAGTGAAAGGGAAAACATAGTCGACGAACAAAAAACTGGACCGATGAGGTTCGATTGTGATGGAATTTTTTTAATTTTAATAATAAATGGCAAATCTACTTTAGTGGCCTCCTCGATGTTGTTGCAACTAGCTTTGAACATCTACAATATGTATTCTAAATATTTACTTCAACGAGGACGGAACATAATTACACGATCAAACGAACTTACCTGTAAGTGATGTTCGATCTTAATTATGTGAAGTCCTCGTCGAACTAAATAGCTCCTTTCTCCTACCTATGTATCACCCACCTGTTGCAACAACTTGGCTTTGAAGAAAATGAATGTTCGTAAGCGGCTAGAGGGGAGGAAGTTAGGAGGAACGGGCGCGGTGTCGCTTTCTTTCGCTGCGTGCGCGCTTTGAAATCGTGGGGTTTGGTACAACTAACGAGGGTACTACGGTATGTATTCTAAATATTTACTTCGACGAGGACTTTGCACAATTAAGATCGAACATGACTTACAGGTAGGTTCGTTTGATCAAGTAATTTTACATTACATTACAATTTTGTAAAATGTTTGTTTGTTCGAGTGTAAAATGAATTTGCGACGATTTTTCTGACTTATTTTTTAACACACTGATGGTAGTAGATTTGGCGTTTTCACCTTCAAGGTTTTGTATATTGCATTTCTAATTCGTGTCAGTTATGGACTTTGTATCTGGGATCGTAATCTCCTACAGAAACTTTTTTATAGTCCTCTGCTAAGAGATTGAATGATTGGGTTAAACTAAATGTAGAACAAAAATGTATTTATTATCAATGTATATAAATTACAAGACAGGATAGGAGTTGTCTAAGGCGATACCGCATGCATTGACATTCCTCTTAATCCTGACGTATCCATGCTCTCCCCATTTAACTCCCCAGGAGTTCTTTACGATCCAGTAGTCAACTCCGTCTTCACTTCCATAACCAACAATCAGGACAGCGTGGTCCAGATCTTCTGGCAAACTGCTACATCCGCTCCTCTTATCGACGATTCCATGACTGTAGAAAGACATGGTGGAAGCATGAATGGCTGCAGTGACTGGTCCTTTGGAAGCTGTAACAGGAAGAAGGTGAAACAATTAGTTGAGTTACCAAGTCGGAAGGTTTTCGATCAGATGTAGAAGTAATACTTACACACAGCTTCAGTGACTTCTTTCTCGTCCTTGAGGTCAACGTATTTCTTGATCTTAACTACATATCCATTGCGTTTGCACTCGCCGTCTTGGGCTGTGTAAGGGTAGGATTCCTCACTCTGAATGCCATGGTCCATGACATACTCGAAGGCACTGTCCATACGCCCCCCATTGCAGCCAATATTGCCGTATTTGTTGGTACAGTCCACTAGTTGTTGAACGCTCAAATCGATCAACGTTTTGTTTTTAAGGAACAGCTGACCTTCAATGGATCCAACCTGACCGGAAAAACAGAATAGAGAGTTATTACCAGTTAGCCTCAGTAACTGTTAACCGCTCATTGACTTCCGTCTTTATTGTTAGCATGCATGTTCCAACCATAGTCTAGGTCTCATCAGTGCAACTCCCAAGCCGATAGTGAAGTGAGCTTGTTGCACGCGAAGCGTACTCGTATAATACTGAAGTGTTTGATAGCTAACGACAAAATAGCTTGACATCTCAAAATTGCGAACGTATACAGGGTGGCCAAAACGAAATAGAATGATTTCTAGGGGGACGTTTTTTCATCTATAGCCGTGCAATACAGGTTGATCCAAAAATAAGATAATGCGTTACATTCTAGATTTTTGAACCTATATTCAATCTTTGTGAAGCTATTTGAATTTATAAAAGAGTTCTAGAAATTATGAGAAGGAATTATATCGTACAAATATCGTTTGCAAAATTAAAAACAAGTCTCCAAGTATTAAAAAAACAAAAACCAACTTACAGCTTCCACGCACATTAATGTTGAAGTAAGAATTAATTTGATATAAAGAGGTAGGTCAATGTGGTAATAAGGGCTGAAAGTGGTGTCCATGTACCTCTATGCAATAATAAAGATTTTGTTCAAATCTATTCCTCACATTTTCAAGCATGTCTTGACTTATTTGTCTACATTCAGCCGTAATTCGCTGACCAAAATCTTGAATGGAATCTGGCTTCGTACTAAAAACCTAACTTTTCAAATGTCCCAAAAAAAACTAATCCAAAGGACCTGGGACTGGTGATCTCGACGGCCACATAGTGCGGCGATGCACCATTTTGTTGGAAATGAATGTAATTTTCATTAAAATTAACGTCATTTTCTATTATTTCGGTAATTCGTGGCTCTGTATTTTCTAACATGTCCAAGTATGTCTCGCCCGTCAAGTTTCCACACATTTATCTTTTCAGGATATTGCGAGTGTATCTCTCGAAATATCCTGAGAGAATAGAACGTATACTTTATCTGAAATTATTTATTTAGAACGATAATAATAATGTTTTTATATCACAATAAATGAATTTTACTATCTTCTTATTTTTTTGATTTGGGATAAAAAATACTTATATTGGGAGTTTAATTTATGTTGACTGAAAGTTAAGAAATGGAAAAATTAGAGAATTCCGACGTTTGACATAGGCAAATATTTACATAGCAGGTAGGTATATAAAAAGGTATATAAAGACTTACATTATAGGTATTTATATATCATCCTCGCCTTCGGAGCTGTCGCTAGAGTCATCTTGTAGAGGAATTACAACGGGATTTACAGGAGGCAAAACACAATAATCATTTTCTTTTTCAATAATATGCCTAGAACACTGCTTCCATAGGTCTGTGGCAGCAATATGAGATTCTGCATCTCTTATTGTGGCCAATAGCGATTCACTTAATTGAGGGGTCTGATTATGTTTTCTTACTTTTTTTTTTAAAGCAGCCCAGACCAACTCAATCGGGTTAAAAATGCAGTAGTAGGGAGGTAGACGTAATACTTCATGGCTATTTTGCTGAAGCAGATTGTCAACAACATACTCTTTTTCAAATTTTTGTCTTTCAATAAGATCCAATAATATGGCTTTGGTTGATTTTTGTGGTATTTCCATTCCCTTATCCTTCATAAAATCAATAATGTCTTTTTTTTGTGCCTGTATTCGGAATTTTGTTTTTCTGTCGGGAATGGTATGGCGCATTGTCCATAATAATCACTGGATTTGGGAAAATGTTTGGTATTAACTGCTGCTCTATCCACTTTTCAAATAAGTCGGAGGTCATGTCCTCATGATAGTCGGCACATGATTCTTTGATATTTTTGGCAGATAACAGCAAGGCATTAGATATAAATCCATTTTCACTGCCAGCATGGAGAATAATGATTCGTTTTCCACGGTTGCATGGTGCATTTAAAATGCACTTGTTGCTGTCGTCAACCCAGCCGTACTGCACAATATCATGGGTATCATACCACGTTTCATCCAGGTAAATCAGATTTCTTTTCTGCTCTCTATAGATTTTAACTTTGTGCAAAAATTCTTGGCGCAATTCAACGATTCGAGACGACTCCATAATCACCATTCTTTTATCTAATTTTTTGTATTGAAAACCACACAGTTTTACAATACAGTGCAGTGAGTCTAAGCATTTGTAATTATAAAAATCTTCAGGATAATCTTTTAACTTATCCCGTATCATTTCCAACGTGGGTACCAAATTTTCTTTATAAAATCCGTATATTATACGACGAATATCTTCCTGAAAACCCACGTTTATTCTTTTTAATTTTTGCCCTATGCGCTTTTTGTGGAAGGAATGGTTGACTACATCTCCTTTTTATAACCCGATAAATGGTAGACCGACTGATTTTTGTCAGGATACAAATTCTGTTTAAAATTTGATTTTGCGAGGAATCTGGATTTTCGTTTTTCAGACAATCATACATATTTAGGATTACTCTTTGGGTCTGTTCCTCTAAATCTTCATGAAAGAATTCTGCCTGCACAGGTTCATCAACCATCTCCTCGTGGCTTGGAGCATTTTCCCAAGGTCTCCAAAGAGCCATATTTAGGACACACAAGAACAATCAACACAACAATTAAATCAACAAGTAAACTGAGTATTCAAAAGTCAAAAACACACAAACTAATAAAATCTATGAAAAAACACGGACAGACAAAAGAAAACACGTTTATTCACCGCTACACGGCACTGGCTAAACTGTTTCAATTTTCAGTAGCCACCTGCACTTGTTCGGAGCTCTGAAATACACGCTTTCTCATTGGCTATGTCCACGCATAGGCGTGCTTTACTCCACGTGGACCGGTGAAACTGCCTTTGATCTTATACGGGGGATATTTGCTGCGAAATTTGGCGATTTTTGCACCAACAGAGCGTGTTAAATATAGATATATAAAACGCACCCGGTATTTCACAGTGTTTCAAGTGACTTCAGATAAAGTATACACTCATCCGAGAAAGAAATATTAAATAACAGATTTGCATTGTTGATTGAACGTTGTGATATTAATTCGCAAAATTTCAACCTTCTATCAAAATCGTCTTCATCAAGCTCCTGGACAAGTTTTATCTTGTACGGGTGAAATTTATTGCCTTTCAAAATTCTTTGTAGTGTTGAGCGTGTAAATCCCGAAGAAGTAGTCAGTCCACGAGTGCTTTGAGTGTTGTCAAGTGCTACGTGTCCCAAAACTGCTATTTCTGCAGCATTACTTGTAACTGGTCGTTTTTCTCGATGGCGATTACGGCGAAAATTAGATACAGATCAGTTTCTTCAAATTTCCTTATCTACTTAGCCACATACCTATCGTTAATACTTTTGTCTGGATGTAACGCATCAAACAACCGGGCAGTAGCTCTTGCAATGCTCTCATTTTGGCAATACAGTTTTGTTATTTGTACCCTTTCTTGAATTGAATAAGTCATTGCTCAGTATTTATCACAACTAGCTAGGTAACTTAACAGTTTGAAATGGAAGACAAATTTTTTCTATGAAATACGATGACACTGACTGATGCTAAATTTTCTTGCTGGTATCCATGATTATTATTTTTTACCGTACACTTCATGATTATCAGTATTAAGTTACGTTGGTCGAATTTTATTATAAATTCAAATATTTTCAGAACGATTGGATATAGGTATCAACTTTATTATAGAAAAGTTAATAAAAATTTTAAAAAATGGTCTTTCCGTTTACAAATCTAAAGTGTAACGCTATATCTTATTTTTGGATCACCCTGTATTGTACGGTAGATGTCCCCCTAGAAATCAAAATTGACGTGTCCGAGCGTTTTTCCCAAAATGTACCAGGAGAGTCACAAATGTGCGTGCGGCCTTTTCCTTGGGCGAGCCTGTAGGTATAGTAGCTATCGACGTTTGCTATACGAGTCGAAGAATGTTTGTTTGCCAATTTAAGCAAGGGATGACATACGTGACGCTCAAAGAACGCAACAAGCTTTTTAAAGGGACTGAAAATATACGTACAGTACTGAAAGCCCAGCATGAACTGCATTGACCTTGATCCTTGACAGCTGTCACAGCACCCTTTTTCCTCCAGTCAATTGCAGTCTTTGGCTCAATACCCGTGGAATCAAATTCTAGCCCATTTGTTGGTCGGGCAGGTTTGCCTTGGGTCTTTAGCAGGTCCAGGAACTCTTGTTGGGTCATGTCGGCAAACTGTGTTACCTTCATAGCGTAACTCACCTCACCTGACTCGTATTTTTTATTGTGTTCTTGGATCTTATGCACGTTGTCTTGGAAAATTGAGAAGCGGTTTTTATCTTCTACCAAACTCCTGTAGGTCTTACCATGGGTCAGCTGAAAACAACGAAATTTTTTAAGCGCGGATAACAATTTGATGTCGACAGTTTCACCATTTTGCGTAATAACCACTTCAGGGTGCACCAACAACAATAATAGATAAATGAGAGCAAGGGCGCATTTAGGATTTCGTCTAGGGGGGCACACACGATATTTGGGGCTGATAATTTTTCAATCTTAGTGGAACTTCTAAAACATATCCCATTGTTGCTCCGTAAATCCAATGGAGTCTATTTCGTCAATGCCAACTTGAAAAAAAACATGGAAAGCGCTCGGAAATCCTCAGAACTAGTAGACATGTTGTGCGATTTTGGCCTCTGAAACTTGTCTCAGGATGTCTCACATACTACTTACAGCTTAGACCTCCAGTAATGCCATCTCTGCAGCAGATGTTACATAAAATCAGAGCCAAACATTGATAACTGATGCTTCATGACGTTTAGGCAACACGTACAACTAAGTACTAAGTTAACATCTTGTAGAAAAGCCTACATAAAAAACCAGTATAATGTCAAAAAATCACACATCACACATTCCGACAGTGTAGACTTGACTCGACCTCTAGAGACAATCCATTCCACATAAAACAATGTCTTTGATGGTGGAAACGAACATGAGACCGAAAAATTCACATTGTCGTATGGACGCTAGACGAAACAAAGAAGGATGTCTATAGACTATCTGTAGATCGTGACTTGATACCGTTTCCAGACTGCCTATAGACAAATTGCGCAACGGGGTCTACTAGCGTGTACTTAGCTTAATGATTAAGACTCTGAACTGTCCATTAATCAAATCTAATAATTGGTGCAAATACTAACACAATCAACCACTTCTGTTATATCAGCAGGTGATAAAAATATCAATAGGTATCTCACATCGCACGTAAAAATGTTGGAAATCTTTGGCAAAAACTATATCTGTTTGATCGTAATTATATTGATAATCATGTTTATACGAAACAAGTACATGAATACAAGGCTGTACATATTCAGGTGTAGTGCAGAAGCTCTGTGATTTGAACGAATTCAATATGGCAAGATAAATAGACACATACGTGGGAAGAGATGCGGGATGTCTGGTATTAACTTTGAGCATAGATCGACATATTTTCTGGACAGGCCACAGGCGCACCGCTAAACAAATCTCACAAACGTATATTTCTAATTTGGGCATTCATCTAACATAGTGCCTTCGCTGCAACACCAGCCTCGAACAAAATCAGTGAAGTTTCACACATTCATCAGATTACTATTGAGCAACAAACAGAATATAAGTTTAAGTGCAATCTGTATAGCTAATATATTACTCAGACTCAGATTTGTCACAAGTCACAATACGAATTTTCGTACAAATAGTAAGAATTCTGCTGTAAGCCTAAGTGATGTCAAAGAGGGACAGCGTTTGGAATACCAAAAATATGGTAATGCTCAGTTTCTACAGTCCCTTCCCGTAAATCTTGGAGAGTGATAATGATGAATGTTTTTATCAATCCACAGCAATGTGGCAAATTTTAGCAACAGCGCTACTTTTGCACTTAACTTCTGACCAATGTGCTGTAGTGATTCTTTGTTTTTCTCACCGATGACTAGCAATTTTTGCAAAGAGTGCAAACGTTTCAAGGAGAAGTGACATAAGGAAATGTATGTATCGGCTCACTTTATACAGTAGACCGGAGGTTTAAGGGCTCTTCTTGTTTGAAGAACTTATAGTATTCCTATTGATTACGGGTAAAGGTCTTGTTCAGCTTTAAAGTAATTTCATTTTAAGCTTACCTTGAATTGCTGCCATTCTTCTTTGATAGAAGAAGCGCAAGCCACCAGAACCAAAGTAGCAACTACAACCAAGGACTTCATGTTCCTAAAATACCAAGAAAAATGAATTAGTTCATCAGAAGCATTAGTAGTACTTGGGAGATTTCAAACATTGACATTAACTTGTTTTTTCGTTATTAGAGGAAAGCCGGGCGAAGCGAACATACCAGCAGAGGAAAATTTTGCGTTTTACATCCAAACTGCAGCGAAAGAGTACATACTCGTAGACATAAAAGGGTACTATAAAAGTTTTGTAATATGACCTAACAACGGACGCAAGAGGCTGCATGTTAGTGCGTGTTGAGACATGTCCGTGAGTGCATAGTAGCCGCAAGCAGCACGTCTGTTGATTTAGTTGTTCATTCGTCTTGACAGTGTATGACATCGTGGTGTCGTAGTGAGATAGGGGCAGTTTTACGGTATAACTTTACCCATGGTTTAAGCATACACCGGAGCTTAGAAGAAATGATGCCTGCATTAAAGAATGATTGTCCCCATCGTACGAATATAGTCAAGTGATACAGAGACTTCCAAAGGGTCAATTTCACTCCGGTGGACGCTGAGAGGGAAGGAAGGCCGCGAACATCCGTAACAGAGGAAAAGGAAAACATTACTGCTGTAAGGAAAATGCTTGACGAAGACCGGAGAGTAATATATCAACAGATAGAGGAGACGTTGCACCTTCATGCGTCAGCAGTTCATTCAATTCTGCATGATCTCTTATACGAAAGGAAACATTGTTCTCTCTGGGTACCGCATAGTCTGACGGCAGAGCAGGACGACTTGGTGCCGAAAGATGCTGAAAATGTTTGATAAGGGGCAATCTCGGAATGTGAACAGCATCATAGGTGACGAGACTTGGCTCTATTATTACGATGTGCCGATCAAGGCACAAAACAATGTTTTGGTCTTTGATGATGAGGACACAATCTTAGTTGTCAGAAAATCAATCTGTTAAGAAAAAAAATGTATTTTTCAGATGGAGCAGGATTGTGGAGCGCGCCGCTTTGAACACACGGCAGACAGTCACAGCTAAGTGGTACATGGAACAGTGCCTGCCTAAAGTCATAGATTCTATGAAAAACCTGCAGCCAAGAATGGAAACTTGATACCTCCACCATGACAATGCTCCATCTCACCGCGCTAAAGCCTGCACCAAGTATTTAACCACCTCCGCACTGAAACTTGTTGAGCACCCTCGTTACAGTCGAGATCTTGCTCTCTGCGACTTTGCATTGTTTCAGCATGTGAAACTGAAGATAAATGGAAAACGGTTTTCTAACGGTAAGGACCTTCTGACGGCGTGGAACAACGATTGTGTCTCACTCCCGGGTGAAACTTGGCATAGATGGTTTAAGGACTGGTTTTGGTGGATGGAGAATTGTATTGACTGTGGTGGAAATTACTTTGAACAAAGTCAATAAATAAAGCTGTATTGCAAAACTTTCGAAGTACCCTTTAGTTTGTTCGGCTTTCTTCAATAATTGGCATGCACCGATGCACAAACTTTCAATAAACCATGCAGGATTATCCTGCACCGGCCCTGTGAGAATGCATTTCTTGAATATTTCGAATTATACACGGTGTTCGACTAGTAGCCTGGATAATAACGTTGCATCTTTGATAGGCACCTATAGTTTTGTGTCATTTTTGGATAGACCTACGTACTTCTTTATCTCCGAGTAACTGTGGAGAGAATAGAGTTCTAAATTTTCTCTACGAATATATATTAGGGCGTCCAAAAATAATTAATTTTTTCCAAACCCATGTCCTTTAATTTTTTTCCATTTGACTCTAACAACTCAAAAAATGAATATTATTGCGATCTGGGAACGACTTCCGGTCAAACTTTGAATTTGATAGTTAATAGGAAAACCTTGCTTTCAAAACTTAATTCTTATTCGTCAAATAAAACACTGCTTTATTTGTATCTTATATATCTTGGGTATTCATCATTAAACTATAATAGGCATTGGATTGTCAAATGTATAGATCTTGTATCTTGGAAACAAGTCATGGAAAAACTTTGGATCCATTGACACATTTCTTCAATACGTTGAGAGATACAACATTCTGAATTAAAACAAAAATATTCAAAAGGCCTCGGCGGGATCTTTTCATATTAATTTCCAATTGCGACAAAAAATCATAAGGAAACGTGTCATTAAAGAGTGATAAGTTAATAATATGATTGTTACTTACGTAAGATCAGAACACAATAAGTTGTCGAACGAAAATCTTTCCTTTTATGTGAGAGCAAAAATGTTCTCTAATGAGAGATAGGCAAACTAAATGATTGGAATCTTCTATAACAGCCGGAAATCGTATGTCAAAACCGAGAGCACTCGAGCCATATAGATTATAAAACAAACGAAGATAAAAACGTTTGTCCCATATTTGATTTATGTGATAACTTAGATATTTTTGGCGTAATTTATGCTCAACCACAAAGTACGCAAATTGTCCAGTTTTGAACTCAAGTTGTTTTAGGTGCCGCAAGTTTAGAGCTTCTGAGGAGCAAAGCTCGTTTGTAGAAGAGAAGCATTAAACTGTACAAGATTGTTGCGTTGTTGCTTGAAGCAAGCAGTGATATCTTCCAGATTTCTCGTCAGAGCGGAAGTCCCTGCTAGTTTTCTTTTTTCCAGTTCACCCATAGAGATCGGCTTGTCATTCTGAATTCCTGCATGTAGAGTGCTGTCATCAACGAAGCTGTGGTTTGGGTTGACCGTACAGGGAAGGAGGCCGTTGATTTGTAGGAGGAACAGTGTCGGAGCCAAGACCGAACCCTGCTGAACACCCGCGTTGACGTTGTGGGATGAAAACGAGAACCCGTCAATTACGACGGATATCATGCGGCCAAGAGAAAGTCAGCCAGCCATCTGCTAAGCTTCTTTGGGAGGATGGAGGATGGAAGTTTGCATAATAAAGCAGCGTGCTACAGCTGATGGAATGCTTTCGTGATATCGAGAGCAACGACATGAGCCTCA